TGGGTAGGAATTTTTTTAATATAAATGAAATTAATAAATAATTTAATAGAAAATTTTTACAGACAAATAATGTTTGCATATATAAGCATTCGAAAAAAGATATACGAGTTTAAATTCCAAGAACAATATTGCTCTACTTAGTTTTATCATGATGTATTCGGTCCATTTAGAAAATTTATATACATTATGGTTTCCAAGGTAGGATGGATAATAGCAAAAGTTTCCATTAAGAACATCTAAAGTCATTTTAGAACAAAAATATTAATCATTCAGTTTTGTTAAATATTAAGCAGATGTTTACACTTTAGTAATCCAAGGTAAAATCTCAATATTATTTTTTTTTTTTCGATACTGTTATAGAACAAGCATTGTATTAACTTTCGAATAACAGAATCAAAATTCTGTCATTAATATTAAAAATTATATCAATAAGATTATTACAATATAATTAATAATGAATTTACTTACCAATATTGTAAACATGGTATATACAAAATATATATCTTGCAAATAACAATTAGGTAATCGTCAATAGCTTTAATGTTTCTTGTGACGAATTGTTCAAAGCTTCCTATCACAATTTAATTTTGTATAATGTTATAATTTATATATAGAATAAAAATCCACCGTTGCTATACTGTCGTTAATTAAAGACTGGTCATATAAAATAGAGTTTTATATTAATATATGTTTTTTAAAACACATCAAAATTAAATAGAGAAAATAATATATACTTAAATAGCTGTAAAAAAAAAATCATTCCTGAGATATTCATGATTTGAAGTGTCATGTTGTTGCAAAGAGCATCTTGCTTTACAATTGTGTATGAATAGAACATCTGGTAACCGTGATACAATTGATATTGGATGAATTCTTTCTCGAGTATTGTTGTAAGTATGTTGAAGACGATATACGGGACATTCTAATAAATCATCGTATTTTTTAAGGTCTTCTAACCAATTTAAATAAATAAAAACATAAATTTGATTATTATTCTATATATGTTTAATAATCCCTTTGATAACGCCGAAATCTGATTGTTGCTTATTAGGTAGTGTTGCTTCAACTATTTTGCCAACGCCAAATTTCACATGTTGATAGTCACCGTTGGATTCTGTTATAATATATGAAACATTTTGATGGTAGCTAATTTTTGTATTTAATAAAGCTTGTTCTAAAGAGAAATATGAAGAATATGCCCTCATTATATTTTCTAAAAATTCGTTAGTTCTAAGATCTGCAGAAATAAATCTGGCACTTTCAATTTCGTATTTATTCCATCTCATTCCGAGTTTAATTTCAGAACAATTGAAGTGCGAAAAACTATCATTATCGGCAAAATTATCTAGTAATAACCATATTTAATAAGAATTTATTTTTATTATAAAATAAACAACATAAATAATGTTACCTTGATCATAGTCTTGTGCAGTATGTATTGAAAAGTTACTAACATCAATACACCATCCTGATAATAAATGGCATAATCTTGGTTCAATAAATAGATCTTTAAATATGAATTGTATTGTCATATTGTTATTTTGAACATCTATTCCACCGTCCACTAAATATCTTAATGTTTGTAAAGTATTGATTTGCCAGAGTAATGTAAGTTCAAGATCATGCTTGTTTGTATGTAGTACAATCAATTTAAAAATCTGATACACTATTTCTTTCATACCAACTGCCGTATTAACGCATGTCGAATATTGGCGTGCATGATCTACTATATGCTGATTAATATATAGGTTCGGAAGATTTTGAAAGTTATCTGGAAATAGCTTAAAATGATTTAAATAAATTGTAATGAAAAACTAAAAATAATAATAATAAATAAATAAATTACATTAATTAATATTCTAAGTTCTTTGTCCAATGCTTTTTGAAGCTGGATATATCTATCCATTCTATTAATAGCTAATGAGAAGGCCTTTTTACTGGCTTTTGCAGAAAGTCCCCAAGCCCGAATCAGATAGTTTATAACATCAGTTTGGCGAGAAAAACTTAATCGACTTTTCGTTTCTTCTAAAAAATTAGTCTTTACATCATTAGTTTTTAAAAAACGTCTCAATATAAAAGGAAATATTATCAAAATCCATAAAATATCAGACATCATAAATGAATGCCTATGTGAAATTGGATTTGGTAAACGTGACCATTTTGCTGGAACTTCGAAGTGCTTCTAGTATTTAATTAAATTATTATCCCCTTGTGATGTTAAAATAAGACAAGAGCAATCGAGAAGTCGTGCTACTTTTCCTGCAATAGCATAATAAATATCTTGAGGAGTATGTTGATAGCAGTTATGAATAATAGAATCAAGTGGACCTGGCAATAACCGTAATCCATATTGTGAACAAAGTTGTGATCGTACCATGTTTGTTGATTGTTTATTTATATTTTGAAATTCTAGAGTTGTTATTTGATAGAATCGACTATTGGAATATATATCAAATAACATATCAGTTAATTTATCCTTTAAAGCTTTACAGCTACGGCACCCCATATTAGCATTATGATGCAAAACACCTGCAATGTCGTTCCCCTGTGGTAAGTCCGCTATAACCATGGCTAATCCACCTGAAATCCAACAATCAACACCATTTATATTCATAGTAAACCCTTGCTCTAGTTGGTGTATTTCATTAATAAAAAATTTTATAAAGTCTTTAAGATTTCTGTCGAATGGCACTAATCTAATTATGAAATGATTTCTTAGCTGTTTTCTTAACCGTCGTGGCATATTTCCAATCTGTAAGTATACACCACCCAATGAGTAATAGGTATTGCGAAAAGTACCAAAATCATCAATATATAGATCTAAATAAAATTTAAAGACTGGCATATTTGAATTTGGTGGTAATTTAATAGGTATGCGTTCAGCTGGATGTTGATGGCGTAATTTTATTGAGCGAAGCTTCCATCAACCATTATAATTATATAGTATTTGATTTACAAAGAAATCAATTATAGATAGAGCGGGCTGATCCTGTAACCAAATGCTAAGATGACAAATTAATGATGAGGGTTCAATAAGGAAAGAATTGGATTCTTCAACCAAATATAGTTCTTGCAGTGAGTATAAAACATGTTGTTTTGAGCTTAAATATTGTAAAGTTTGTTTATAAGAAAATAACCGTTGAATTCTGACTGTCATTTTTTTATTAATGATTATAAAGGATCAGATTTGGCCAATTTCTATAGTTTCTGAAGTTGATTTGTAACGAACAAAATCACCACAATTAAATAAGCCTAAGAATAAAAATATTAAATAAAAATATATAAAAATAATAATATATTAAAGTAATATATAAAGTGCCTATTGGCAACTCTAAATAAGAGTAAAAAAAAATAATACCTTGTGCTGTTGATAAATTTGGTTGGCCAAAAA